TTAATAGTGTAGGCTACCAACCAGGTGGTTTCCTTATTTTCTAGTATTTCTACCTTCCTTTCTTTCTTTCTTTCTCTCTCTCTCTTTCTTCTTTCTTTTTTTCCTCCTTTTTCTCTCTCTTTCTTTCATGGGGCTTTTGCTACTCTAACATTCCTCCCTCTGAAGAGGTAACCCTAAAATCCTTTTAGGGATTAGATAAGCTCCCAAATACTTTCAATATATGGCAATACCCAGAGATGGCAGTTGCAGAACTCCGAACTCTGACCATGCAGCACCCCACCTAAGACTTCTAGCCTTCTGCACCAAGGAATCCACCTGGGGTTATAAGCTACACTGTCGTATTGGTGCAATGTTTTAGCATCTGAGCCAGACACATCTACTGTATTTTCAACTTCCTAGAATGTAAAGTATGATATTTAAAATTTTAATTTTACAAAAGTAAAATTATAAAAAAGTATTCTTTGGTGTTCAAAAACAAAATTCAGTTACGAACTATTTTAGTTACAAAATACATAACTAAAATATCAGAAGTAATGGGCTATTTATTACACTATTATTTAGAAGATAAGGGTATTACAAGAAATATGAAGGTTAGATTTTCTGACTTTCCTTTAACTAAACTACAAGCCAAAGTCAGTGCTTGGAGCAAGTGACTTTACTGAGGAAGCTACACCTTATAGCATGATGTTCCCAAGGCAAAGCTCACTAGTTTATGCTTTATATTCTTTTGAGGTGCACATTTAGGAACATTCAACGGAAAAGGGAAGGTACCAGAGATGGAGAAATGTAATTTAGACTACTTTCATAGAGAGAGTAGGTCCTGCTCTTTACATTTAATAAACATCACTATGCAAAACAGACTTCCTCCCTGGGACAGAGATCTTAGTCACAGATATAACGCACAAAAAGTGTGTGGTCAACACAGTCAGTACATGATGGACTTATAAGAAATTGGGCCACATATGTTATTAATGTACCGGTTATTGCTTGCTTTAGTAAACATGGTAAGCTCTATGAGTAACTGATCATAAGCAGTTAAGACTGATGTTCACTCCTCCCCTCACTCACTACTGACAGTGTGTGGATTGCTACCTTTAGGACTGCTTTTGAACACCAAACAAAGCAATACATCTATTTTATTATTTTTATATGTGTTTGTGCTTGCATGATTTATGAGCTCCTCATGTGTGCAGGTGCTCACAGAGGCCATGAGGCACTGGATCCCCCGAAATTGAATTATAGGGTGTTATGGACCACATGATGAGGATGTGGGGAACTGAACCACAGTCCTCTGCAGGAGCAGCATGCAATCATAACCTCTGATCTTCCTCTTTAGCCCCCAGAGCAATATTTTTTAAAATAGGATCTCTCTGTAGCCCCAACTGGCCTAGAGCTCACTATGTAGACCAGGTTGGCATCAATCTCACAGAGGTCTGCCTTTCTCTCTTCCCAAGTGCTGAGATTAAGGGCATATACCACCAAATCAAGATAACAATAAATAATTTTTAAAATAATAGAACATTGGTTAGAAATATTAAGGTAAACACATCAAACAGATTTAGTGTGATTTTTTTTGGTAGTTTGTAATATGCTAGTGAAAATTGTAAATTGTCAGCTACTTTGCATTTTCATGAAGCTTGGTTAAGCAATATCTAACAAAAGTCAGAAGTTAAAGAAATAAGACAGAGCACATGCTTATTGTGTATGTTTGTTTCTCACACGGTGGGAGGTAGGGCAGGACTTCCAGTGGCAGAAGCACAGTAAGTGGGTGCTGTCTGGAAGCTCAGTCTGCAGAGCCTGAGTCTAGTCATATGATGTTGCCAGCAAACCAAGGGCCTAGGACAAGTGCTGCAGAAGACAGACCCCAAGAGAGCTACATTTGGAATGGAGGAACTGTCCTTAGAAGGATACTGGGTAAAGTACTGTGGTCCAGAGAGCGAATCAGTTCCTACTCACCCCAGTTAGTAGTTGTCATGGAAAATGAAGATTGGAATAGAAAGTTCCAGGACCCTCCCCCAGCTTCATAGCTCATAAAATGTGTCACTAACCCTTTCATAAATTACATATAATTATCAAGTCCTGTGCAATTCAGTTCATCTGAAATCACTGTTAAGACCACTGAAGAAAAGAAAACCATTACAGAAGACATTAGAAAGTAGAGGCAGGCAGGACAGACTCAGCAGAAAGTCTTTCTCTTTATGTTTTTGAACTGACAACTATCTTCTTGGTGTCTCAGACACAGATTTAGCATGTACATGCACACAACTGTGCACACACAGACACAAACACACATTTAGACAGACACACTTCACTTCTCCCCAAAATAGCCACATTCTTTTATTTGATGATTCAATACATTTTAATTCAAATAGTCACCACATAACCTAGGCACAATAGTAAGCATTTTACAAGCAAAGTATCATATTGATTTTCTTCTCAATTGCCAAAGAGTATAATAAGTGAGCTAGTTAAATGATATACTTCTGTACATTAAAATATCCATGTATTTATACAAGTGTATGGAGCAGAGTTTAAAGGTAAATAAACCCTAGCATCACAATAAATAGGATGTGTTTATAGAGTGCAGCACGGCACAGGACACTTTGTTGGGAAGTGGTCATGTCTTTTTCATGAAGGTGTTTTGTGTTTGCCTGAGCTACACTACTATTTCTCATAGAAAGGGATGGGTTAGCACTGATCCCAGCGTTGTTTTTTTTTAATGAATCTCCAATAATAGAGGTGGAATCTATGATAATTTAATTATTCCAAAACATCTCTGTGACCTATCAATTCTATTGATTTACCACTTCCACCTTTTGAAATACAGGTTAATCTAATCTCTAGCACCATACAAGAAGGAAATACATGTGTTTTTGACAGAGCAACAATGTTTTATTTCATCTTTGTTCCTCTGGCTATAACAATTCTGTTTAGAAAAAATTTACCAAGCTAAAAATAATTGATCTAGGTTGTCATAAAAAAGAACATTAAATACCTTTGGTAAAAATAGATATATTTAACAAGATTAGAAAAGCCAACAGTTATAATGTCAAAAGGAGAATATAAAAATGTACACAATAAAACACATAAGCCACCTCAGAGGTAAGGGAAAATAAGACCACTCCTCTTCGTGGGTTTGTTCCTCCAAACCACCAATGTATTTCTCTTCTTTTAAATGGCAGAAAATTTAAGAAGCATAGAAAATCCAGTCTCTCATATAGGCATGACACATGTAATTCATAACAACACAGCTCCTCTTTAAAAAACAAGTTTGTAGAAAACAGACCATTAAGATTTATATATGCAAACATAAGGGGGAAATTCCAATTTCTTTCTGCAATGTTCAGAATCAAGTTCTTGCTTTCACTGGTTTTATCTTTCTTATTCTGACATCATTTCCCCCATCTTGAGAACTAAAATACAGATTGCTACCAGTAGAAGAGGAACGTGGTCACTATGGAGCTTCTTAGCAATCTATAAACATTTAATTTGCTTCCAGGATTGAAGACCTTCCTTTGGACCTCCTCTCCAAAGCACTGCTGTGCAACTACTGACACCTTTTGGTACCTCTTCAAGAACCTTAATTTCTGCAGATGGAAGGTTGTTGCAGAAAACAACTGAGATTCTAGATGGAGACGATGGATGAGTAAGCTCTCTCACACAATCAGCAGCTGCACCTGACAGGTCTGGTGGCAGATGCTGGTGGGGATGTGGGATGCTGGTGGGGATGTAGGATGCGGGTGGGGATGTGTGCTACAGGTGAGGATTCGGTTACCCTCCTGTGTTTCCTCTGCACACACAGTCACACTCCTCATGGTGCTCCAGGGCCACATCAGTGAGTGACTTATGCAATCCCCTGACTCCAATTTTTGGTCGCAACTGAAGGACCTATAAAAGAATAAGTGTGAGTGTAAGTTGCCTTCAAAAATTCAATGTTCATCGTGTTTGACTTCATGGACAAATAACACTTCATCTCCAAGTCATACACCATCATCACTTCATAAAAGAAAGAGCATGATAATGCCACAATTTCAAAGCCCACTGCCTCAGAATATGTAACAGTTCTTAAACCGAAAGACTCACTGTGTGTTCATTATTTTCACAATGTAATCAGACAAGATAGACTTTCACCTCAAGTATTTTGGAACACTAATGCACAATTTGTTTTCTGTTTGCTAGATTCTTCCTCCCATATACTTATTCACAAATAGAACAAATATTTACACTTGATGCAGCACACTCAACCACAGGAATAGTGTAGAAAGAAACTTGATCACTCCACAGCTGAACTTGCTCAATTATGCTGCTCATTAATTTTCTTGGCCACACTTCAAGTCCTCTATAAACCTGATGAGATGGATTAGATGTACTTCATCGATATCAGCCTCAGTCACAGCTAACTATCTGCAGCTGGATCCTACTGTGCAGTGCTAAGTAGGCTTGACAGTAACAATAGTGCCTCTGGTAAATGAGCTTATTCACAATCTAGATTATTGAGGTTTCAAATAAAAAATGTAGGGACCCAATATGAACATATTTCTTTGTAATACTGCAATGAAAGGATCTTGCTGTGTAATCTATTAAAAGTATCTAAAGTATTGGATAGTAGTCATTTCTTGCAACAGAAATGATAAATTTTAGGAATTATGGTGTTTGGATTATGAAGAAAGACAAGAAAATATAATAATATAAAATTGTCCAGTGTCTTTGCTTTCTGTGTGTGATATAGATAAACCTTATGAAATGACTCTTTAAAGTCCCCATTCCTATAAATTATTATTAATCCAGGGGCCCAGGTCAAATCTTATGACTGTTCTGTCTGAAAGCAGGGAAAGCCTACACACCTCTTTTGGAGTACATGATTGTACCAGGGGTTAATTAGCTCACATATTTTGAATACTTACTGAGTGCCAGGCACAATAATAATGTGTTTACATACTTTAACTCACAAGAGTCCTATGAAGTAATCTACAATTATTACTCTTGTTTTACACATGAGTGAGCAGATTTAGACAAACTAAGGGACATAGTTGTTATTTGTACCTAGGCCAAAATGCCTTATTAAAATTAGAATAATTTTATGAAGGATTAATATTATTGATCATTCTGTTTATTTAGTAACTTTAATCCTTGGGAGATAAATTTCAAAGTCTAATAATAACTATCAGCAATTCTAAACTTGTAAAATTAGGTTTTTCAGTCTATTACATTTTACAGTACTAGACCAAAATTCATTAAATTTCTATTCTATTACTTTAATGTGAAACTTAACTGAATTGACAACTGAGTATTATTTGATGTCAGCATGTTGATGACTTTTAATGAGTTACAGTGGCATAAAATTTAAATTTGACAAAACTGCTATTTCTTGTGTATGCTTGCTGTATTCTTTTTTCCTGGAATGAGGCTTGATAAAATAAAATTGAAATATCAGCATAGCCAATGTGATCCCGTCTCATCTCTACCTCTGTACATCTCTCTATTCAGCAGGGAAGAAATTCAGTACAACAGGGGACAATCCTCCACTGCGCCTCTGCTTCCATCTGACATCTACTAAGACACAGCTGCTGAACCAAAGCTGCAGCTTCTCCTGCTCATCTTGGAGAGATTTGCAAAAGGCAGACAAATCTTGTTTTTTAAAAAAAACTGGATAGGAAATTCTAGCCTAGGGAGGCAGGTGTTGTTACTATGGTCCTTTTCATTTCCGTTAGAATGTTTTGACTCTTAGAATATGGAAGTAGGATTGAAAATGTGTCAGTAGATCCAAGACGGTATTCAAGGAGAGTTGTTGGATTTTAGGATGTGGATTAGGACAGCAGAGAAGAAAGAATGAAACTTTGATAGAAGAGATTGGAATGGAACTCAGTGGCACAGTGCTTGTCCAACATACGTAGGGCTATGTGTTCAAGAGTGTTATGCTTTAAATAAGAACTGTCATATACAGGTTCATTTATTGAATACTTAGCAGCTGACGGTGCTAATTTAGAAGGTGAATAAAACTTTAAGTGGTGTGACCAAGCTGGAAGAGTAGAGTGAGCTACATCATTCCCTGCCCACATTTCCTGATCATAATGATATGAAACAATTAAATATATCAAGTTCTAAATAAAACCCATTAGGTCAATTATGGAAACAGAAGAAGGAACAAAATACATTGCTGTTGTTAGGGTATCCTATAGGCTCTTTGCCTTTCCCCAGTGCAAGCTGCACTACTTTACTGTAATTAATCAGAATCAAAGGACAAGACCAGACAGAAAGGGGAAGATGGGAGTGAATGACTAATACACTGGCACAACTTGAAGAGTGAAAATTATATTCTGTGTTTTGTAAAGACTGACTCACTGAATCTTCATCATATGGTGTGTAGTTGGAAACCTACAGGTACAAAAAGTGAGACTCAGGGATTAAGTAACTTGCTCAAAATCACACAGCTAAGAAATGTTAGAACCAAGTCTGGATGGCCAGCATTGCACCTTGTGTTTTTTTCTCCAATCTATTATTTATTTACCCTTTTTTATAATTTATGTGTATAAGTGTTTTGCCTGCATGTATATAAGTGCACTCATGTCACACAATGCCCACCAAGGGCATTGCATCCTTTGGAACTGGAGTTAAAGATGGTTGTTAGCTTCTATGTGGGTGCTGGGAACCCAAACTGGGTCCTCTATAGGTGCGGCCAGTGCTCTTAAACACTAAGGCATTTCTCCAGTTCTGAAGTCTGAATGTTAAAGCAGTGTACTGTAATATGGTCTTTACTATCCTTGACCTTCACCTTGGCAGAAACAAATATAAACAATGATTTTATTATAATTTTTCTGTGAGTTTGTGTGTGTGTGTGTGTGTGTGTGTGTGTGTGTGTGTATGAAGTGGAATAAGGGATACTCTATGTGACAGTATGTGTGGCGGTCAGAAGACAATTTGTGGGAGTGGTTCTCCAATCCACCATTTGGGATTGAACTCAGGTTTCCAGTCTTGGTGGCAAGCACTTCTACTTAAGGGATCCATCTTGCCCATCCATAAATCATTTAAGAATAGTAAAGCTTTTCTAGCACAGACACCTTTAAAGTCCTGTACATGTACAAAGGATGACATGATTAAATATATTGTGATAGATAGGAGACTAAAAGATGCTTCAAGGGGCTGGAGAGATGGCTCAGTGGTTAATAGCATTGGCTCCTCTTGCAGAGGACCTGGGTTAGATTTCCAGCACCCACATAGTGGTTAGCAACCATTTGTAACTATAGTTCCAGGGGATCTAACACCCTCCTCTGACCTCTGCATGCACTTATATGCATGCAGGCAATACAGTCATACACATAAAATAAAAATAACAAAATACTTTTTGAAAATATGCTTCAAGAAAGAGGTGTCATGCAAGCTTTTGTACATATCAGGTTCCAAATTTTCTTCTCAGAAAAAAATTTGCATATGAAATAGAGACATTATAAAGGAGCAATTACTTTTTGGCAACATGTTTTCCTTCTAATAAAGAGTTCTAGTGACTGATATAAAAACAGCAAAAATTTTACTAAAAACAGTCTTGTACTATCAATAATGTGATGACAATATTTTATATTTTCTTCTTTCCTTCCTTCCTTCCTTCCTTCCTTCCTTCCTTCCTTCCTTCCTTCCCCCAGCATTTAGTTCAGTGCTCCCTGAGAGCAAGAATCTTTTCTTCTTTCCCTGCCTTCCTTCCTTCCCTCCTTTCTTCCTTCCTTCCTTCCCTTCTCTCTCTCCCTTCCTTCCCTTTCTTTCTTTCTTTCTTTCTTTCTTTCTTTCTTTCTTTCTTTCTTTCTTTCTTTCTTTCTTCATTCATGCTTTAAGACAAGGTCTCATGTATTCCAAGCTGGATGTGAACTCAGTGTATTTGGATAGAAGGAGCAGAGCTGAAGGCCTGTGTTTTTGACCTGCCCAGTTGACAGTGAGGCAGCACTCTTGGCACAGCCTGCCTGGAGCTCTGAGGGCCACTGTGTCCTGATCACCTACTTGAACTTGTAGCAGATAATTCTGCTCTCAGCACAGGAACCTTTGAAAGCAGGTGGTATGAAAACGCATGTAGAACAAGAGGTACAACAGCAAATAGTCTTATTATAAGCACTGAGTGCCAGTTTTAGATGTTACTTTCTAAAAGATTATAAACACAATCAAATAAGATATCTGGGGAAAGCCTGGGACATTACCAGATTTTATAGCGATTAGGCACCCTTGTGGAAGTAACAGTAAATTAATGATGGCTCTGAGATAGAAATTAAGGGAATAGGCTCAACAGTGCCTTTTCCCACACTTTCTCAGCTACCAATGGAGTGCTGGTGAAAGGCAGGAAAGTCATGACATAAGAGATAGAGTTGAGGAAACTGTGCACATACAGATTGAACAAGCAAGGGTTTCACTGGTGTCTTCATGTACATGAAAAATCATGTTATTATATAGACATCTATTCTGTATTGTTTTATTTGGGATAAAAATTAAAAATAATGAAATGAATTCAAGACAGAAGGAAAGCCATAATGTGGCACGGTCTTTTGTAGAACTTAAATCTGACCCAAAAGAAAAGGATCCTTTCTGGGCTTGTGCACACTGATAATGCTGCTGGAATTGATGGAATATGCATGAAGGTATTCCAGCACCAACGAGTTTAGGTTTCATTGCCCAGGCTGGCCTTGAAGTCTCGGGCTCCAGTGGTCCTCCTCCTCAGCCTCTGGCATAGCTGAGTTCATAGATGTGTGCCACTGAGCCCGGCTCCATTAAAGAAGATTTTGAATGCACAAGTCTTGTGGTTTCCTTGGTTCTAAAAAGCAACAATTACTAATATAACAGACTATGTTTTCCTTAATTCCAAAGAAGATGAGGTGAAGTGTGAAGGAATTCATAAACTGTTCAACATATTTGAGGCAACAGATATAATATGGACATCGGCCTAACATGGAATATGGTCTTAATGGGATTTATGTGCAATGTTATTCTACATGTAAAAACAAAGATATTGTTTCTCCAAATTAGACAATGATTTATTTCTAAGCTTGGATTTAAACTACTCTCCTTTAATTTTTGAAAAAATTTAAAGTCAAAAAGCTTCAGCCTCTTTTTTTCTCAGGAAAGATATTGTTTACTTTGTATAGGCAAGTGTAAGTGTGTAGAGCTGGGATTGAGATTGTAGCTCAGTAGTATAGCACCAACCAGCAACCACAAGATCCTGGGTTTGATCCCCAGTAATACAAAATAAAACAGAACCAAAACTTTACTGATCAGCCATGATCTACCAGTACACAATGAGCTTTGTAAATTCTTAATGTCTGCTTTAAAAGAAAAGGCTCTCATTTTAGAAGTGAGAACCTTTGGAGACCTTGTGTTTATTTTTCAGCGACTGGAACACGTCCTTCCTGAACATAATTCCATTGTAGATTCATTCTTTTGTGTTTATGAACGAAAACACCCGATATAACTGAAAAGAAAATGGTATCCTTACCTCATGGTACTTTTTTGTAACTTTGCTTGGAACACACTGACATTCGTTGCAGTTGTGAAGACAACAGGCACAGTTCCCTCCGCAGCGCTTAACCAGGAGGCAACCTGGCCAGAAAATTGTATCGGTCCTCTTTAGCTCTTCCCGTATAGACACTGAGAAGTTACGAGGTGTGCAGCTGTAGAGTCTCACCTCCTCTTTGAGAAGGTTCAGATCCACAACTGCATGTCATAAAGAAGAACAAAGAAAAAATATTCATATTTCTCGCCTGAGTCCCCTTCGTTAGCTCTTTTCATAGAGATCTAGTTATTCCATGAATGATAACCCGAACAATATCCCTTCTCATTTTAACTAGCTTGTATGGCTCCACGGCTCACAAATTGGACTTTCTGTTTCACTGGAAACAAAGCTTCATTATGACTTAGTGACCAATAAAGAGGTGGCATTGTGCAATATTAAGGACAGAGCCAACAAAATAGTTGAGAGCTATAAATAGGAAACTTTATATAGAGAAAAAGGGCTACACCTTTTAACCTTAGTCAAAAGGCAGACAGAGAGAGTATTGCAGGGAAGAATAGAACGCCGAAGTATGAATGCTTTGATTAAGAAACCAAAAAAGGATTACAGGCTTTTACAGCGAATGCAGAACAACTTACTGAAACCTATCCCCAGAACTTCCAGCGCCTTTATGGCCATACGGAACACAGCATACTAAGAGAATGAAGAAAACGTGTCTTTGAAGACAGTTGAGTGTGTCAGAGTGAAAGAAATGTTACATTTGTAGAGTAAAAGCAGAAGTTGTTGGAAAGCTGGGTTTCAAATGTTTTCGAAATTGGTGGTCTTTGAAATGTAGACTGATTGGATTGCTTCAGATTTCTCTTGTTCCCTTGCTGAAAGATGGAAGGAGTGTCTAATGTATAACCATTGACTCTGTTCCTTGAGTTAGCTGGTTAACTATGCTGTTGTTTATTTTTTTAAAAAAAATACCTACTTGCGAAGAATCAACAAATATCCTTTCATCAGTGTGTGCAGTAAATTCCCAAAGAGTGATTGTTTTTTTTATCTCCCAGGAAAACTGCATCACAACAATATCATGTTTACTATGAACTTATACGTAAAACAGGAAAAATAATTATTGGGGCTCTTCTTGATTTCAGTTTCTGCAGTACGTCTCTGCCTATCTTTTTCCTTAGAAATATTCAAACAAAACAATTCTAATACAACCGAAGTACTTCAGACCCTTATACTTATTCTTGTTTGTTTTTAAAAAGAGTGACTTTATCTAAAATATAATAAATGTTATATAAAATATAATGAATCAGGATAAGTATCTTTATACTAATATGGGAAAGATATAGACTTGAAAGAATTTTATGAACTAAGGATGCCTTTAAATAATAGTAACCATTGATACTCCAATTCTGGAAAAATAAACACTATTATTTTCTAGCAATTTTAAAATGTGAGGGCAAATTAAAAAAGCACCCGTTTTCCTGATTTTTTTAAGCTTATATTCATGGTCAAGTTCTTCTGAATTGTCAAAGGGGGTACATTTTAAGATTTTTCTTAGAGAAAAATCTCTAAGAAATGCTATATTATGTATATGTAATTGTAACATTGGACATTACACATGTCCAACTACAATTGAAAAAAGCCTAGGCCAAACATATTAATGCTACAAAACAATGCTAATGGGCCAATTTCAACAGTTTATTCAGCTGAAAAAGTATGTATTTTGTTCAGTAGGAAATCATAGTCTTATTTGAATATTTAAAGATTTTGTCTGAAAATGAACAAGTGAAAGGAAAGCTTTGAAATGTCTGAAAGCATGTGAGTTTATTCTTTTTTAAATATTTTATTTATTATTTTTATTTTATATGTATGCATCTTTTGCCTGCATGTAGGTAAGTACACCATGTTGTGCAGTGTCCACGGAGAACAGAAGAGACTGTCAGTTTCCCTGGAACTGGAGTTATAGACAGTTGTTAGCTACCATGTGGGTGCTGGGATTTGAACCCGGGTCTTTTGCAAGAAGAGTCAGTGTTCTTAACTGCTGAGCCATCTCTCCAGCCCCAGAGTTAATTCTTTTAAATGCCCGGAAAAGATTAATTCCTCTCTAGTAAAGTTAATGGTATTGTTTCGTTAATGATGCCCTTATTCTACTTTTATTTCATTTTGTTGAGGATCATGTGGAGATATATTCCTATTTTATCTTAATATTATATATGATTTTATATCTTTTAAAACCACACAAATACAACAGATGATGGCCACAATTTGAGACATCTAAGAGTCTTCAGAATATGAAGGAGGCTCCCAACTTTCAAAGGATCCTCACCTACCACACATAGTTTCAAACATACTATTTCATGAAACTAGAAAACCAGATTGCATGTGTTCTCCTTAAAATGTTTACTTAACCACAATAAATGGCTAGAATAGATTTCCCAAGTGAATTGTTATACCTGCCACAATGTGAAAATTTAAACACACTTTCTACTTAGCTTCCACTCATTTATCATGTTTGACACATAAGTCAAAAGACCTTTTTTAAAGTACTATTTAAGCTTGACTTAGAAAATACCTTATTTTGTTTTTATTTTCCTCTGTAGCAATACCATATGAATGAAAACTCTGAGTTAGTATAAAGACTATAAAGAAAATAAGCCCCAAAGCTTTAATGCACACTGGCAGTAACTACACTGAACTAAAAATCAAAGAATTTAAATTTGTGAATCATCTTTGTGCATCTGACTCCTAAGGCTTCAAACTAATGTAAGCTTCAAGATTAAAACATAATCTTGCAACAGAAATTCTACAAATATTCTGCAAACTTTGTGCATAAAAGTCAGGGAGAGAAAGAGAGAGTAAAATAAAAGAGGAATAGAAAAAAGATTATGCCTCAAGGCATATTTTTAATAACTATAATAAGTTTCCCTCTGTAAAACATTTGTGAATTAAAAAAGAAACCATTTTCTTGATTCTACCCTCCCATGACTGCCTCCTGAGAGGTCTTTCTAACCAATAAAGACATATAGCATATCACAAATCAAAATTCATGTTTTCCCAAGGAAATTTCAGCAACAAGCAAGTTTACCAGCCAGGAGAGCACTGACAAGAAATTATGGACACGTTTTACTTTGTTAGTTGTTCCTCCTTTTAAGATATTCAATCCAAGGAGATCATATTACCATAATGCAATCTGAGGGTGGTCTTTCTAAGATGAATGTGGTAACATTGTGATATGTTTATTCTGGGAAAAAAAATCTATTTCAATGTTTAATTAGAGACTTTTAAAAGTCTTCTCTGTTCCTTTGTAGAAAGAGTCTAGCGGGGGAGTTGATTTTGTCTAGAGATGTTAGCCCACACCTGCATTTTAGTTGTGTAAAGTTCTAAAAATATACATTGCTTTTCTCACACTTACTGCATGCTTAAAATGCTAATATTTTTGGCAAACTGCAAAGGGCTTCGATCTCGAAGGTGTTAAATGAGTATGTGAAAGACCTGGATAAGCACTGGGTTCCTTTAAGTACTAGCTAGCCTCTGGCCAAATCTGTGAGCAGCAGGCAGAGGGATCCTGGCTTAAAGGCAGAACTCAAAGGAAGCATTTTAGGCTGGGATCCAGAATCACTTGTCAAAATCTCACTGTGAGCTTAGAACCAATTTTGCAGCCCTGCTTCTTACAGATGAACATGATAATGTATTCCATATTTGCTAAGGGTACTCCTCGAGAGTTTCAGCTTGTCTTGAAGGCCTTCAGTTTCCTGTTCCTAAGTACAGGAAAGGGAAGGGCTGTCTGTAACTTACTCATCAAGCTGTTCATCAAGATCAGATCTTATAACTATGTAACCACCCTCAGCATCTGGGCAGGACTCAGCTGCCCATGTCCTTGAACTTATCCATGTTCAAACACTGCTAAAAGGAAACTATGTCTGTTGGCATAGTGAAATACCAGGGCTAGGCAGGTTCAAACGTGACATGCAGAGATGAAAGCTCATGATCTGGAGGGCTGCAAGGCGTTACGGGAAAGGCAGGAATCAGGTTTCTTCTCCTAAGATTTAAAACGAGTCTGGAGCAATCTGCTCCGGTGAATGGCTCAAATTAACTAAACACTGCCCTTGCACATAAATTCTCCTTGCTGTCACTCCATTCTCTAACTTGATCATGGGGGAGATTCCAATGTTTCTGACAGATTGAAACAGATTTTCTTGAGAGCACTGTAACTTCTTTTTTTCTCGAGAGCACAGTTACTTCTTTTACAGTCATTTGTGCCTGATAAGGCTATGTCACAATTCTATTGCTGCTAGGAGAATTAGCTAACGTCACTGGAAATTCGGGCAGCATCACTACCGATTTTTTGACTGTGTGGAATTAGCCTCAATTATCAGCACCTTTGCCCTTAAAAGGAAATAAGTCAATTTGGTCAAAAGTGATGGCTTCAATAGCAAATTCACATAAAGTGCACTTCTCATTTCATGTTCTCCTGTGGGTTATTGTTTCCTGGCTGTGAATTCTATCTTGGAAACTTCTATTTTGTGTTGGATTAATATTATTGTCCCTATTATTTAGAAGTTTCTAGGTTTAGGAAATAGAAAAGGACGATGGTAAAAATGATTTCTATGAAGCACCTCCCTTGTCTAGCCCCAAACTTGGTTTTGTGACTATGATCATTGCTCTTGAATCTCAAAATGTAGATAAGGAATAAATTAACATTTTTGTCAAATGCAATACAGTGGTTCATCAAAGTGATATTTTACAAGATAAATGATGGCAATTTCAACAGGAGTATCTCTTAATTTTCATTTTGTTTGTATTCTCATTTGCTACATTCATGTGTTGAAATGATAAGTAAAAGCAGGGTGTTTGAACATACCACTAAAGAAGGTTACACTCTTCTCTTTAGAAGCTGAGGTGAAAGAATCTCAAAACTTCAGCTGCTGAGAAAATTAAACGAGGTTCTAACCTGAAGCAGAAGCTTACCTCTGGGTTTTCTTCCAAAAACAAAAGCCTTGCCCAAAAGCTGCCACGTCGGCCTGTAAAGATCATCTAAGTCCACCTGCCATCGATCAGGCTCCAGATACCGAATCAGCTCTTCCAAAGTACTGAAGGCAGTCACCGCATTATTGAGCAGGTCCAGCGGCAGAGCAGAAGGGGGTAAAACTGAAGGGCTCACAGCTTCAGGGACTTGCTGAAAGTAAAATGAATCCTTCGTTAACTGTTTTGAAAGTGGCATTGCATTCCTTTTCCAGCTGTATACCAAGTTATGCTGACTAAAGCCGAGAGTACGAAAGGAGGATGAAATTCAGTTCAACTTAGGAGGATTCTTTTTTGCAGCAGGATCTAGTGGTGTACATCTACAATCACATAACTCAGAAAACTTTAAATTCAAGACTAATCTGGGAGATATTGGTGAGACTTTATCTAGCAAAAAAAAAAAAAGTCATTATTTTGGGGACTTCATGTTGATGAACCCTGAGCAATGTTCTATAAAAAGTGAAATGAAATATTTAATATCACTGTCACAAACTATGGTTGATGTAGACATCACATACTAATGTTAAACAATTAAAATATGTTTATTGCATGCTATGGAAGCAGGTGATGGCACCACTGGAGCTAGTGTCAGGTATGGGTTATGGATTTAGAAAGCATCTAGACCATGAATGGTTACCTTGGGAATTTCCCCTACAACTTGTTTCAACTATAAAAGATTTAATATATAGGATTAAGGCACAAGAGAGGCACTTGGAGAATTCCTTGACACACTGTATGACGGCCACACAGCTTCTAAATCATGCTTCTTTTTGATTTATTGGTCAGTAGAGTTGCATAGACCCTCCTCAAATCATACAGACTATTGCCATTGATCTGGTTACCCTCCAGAACTTGATAGTAAAACCCTGTTGCTGAAGAAACCACATAATTGAGTCATAGGACATGGAGAAATCAAGTTGTTACAGACCTGGAAACTTTATCTCTACTGGCTAGCTTTCATAGTGCTGGAAGGTGCTATGCACACCAACAAGGGAGGAAGATAATCAACAATCTTATACAACAGTGAACTCTATAAGCTACAATAATGACTGGCCTGACAAGACAATCTCATTGATGCAATAATGGCATGAATATTTTGAGAATAACTAACCACTTTCTGATTCAGTTAAAGGACTACTTCAGAAGATGGAACTCATGCCTGGTACCTTTCTTTGGACCAGAAAAAAATCTGTAACTGGCTAGGTTACAGGCACTAGGTGAGAACCTAATACTATTATTTTGTTGAATGGATACAGTAATAAACTGTTGCCTAAGTACTTATCCTTATATCCATAGCGGAGTGTATCTATCAGCCCTCATCAGAGAAGTTTCTCTGCAGTAGATGACTACTGAAACAGAAACCCACAATTGGTCAATGTAGAGAGGGTAAGAGATTGTGGAGTACTCGGCTCTAAATAGGGCATCTATATTATACTTCCTATCCCCAAGGCTCAGGGATCTTTGTGGAAGAAGGGGTGGAAAGATTGTAAGAGCAGTGGTAGTGGAAATCTGCAGCAAAGTATTATTTACTGGACCTGACAGGGCCATTACACACATAACTCACAGCAGCTATGACTGCATGCCTAATACCTGCATAAGATCCAGCCAAAATCCCAGCATGAGTAAGGGACAGGCTCATGAAATTCCACCCTTAGCAAAGGAGCTCTTGGTAACTGGTGGCTTCTGGGGCATAGAAAGTCAGTTTTCTTCAGGGATACAGTTCCTAAGAGGCTACCCATGCTGCAGTACATGGCCCAATACCCATGTATATACAGGCAATAATAAGTGAATTTAATCACATTAGATGAATATATGAAATTGTGAAGTAATAGGAAACTTAAAAATATCTCCACAGTTTAAATAGACTTATAATGAAACTTTAGCATGTTTTACTATTTTTTTTTACTTTCAACTTTTCACTTTTCTTCACCTAGAAAATGTCCTAGTAGCTAATTTAAGATAGTGCCAGATGAACTGAAAATTAAATATAAAATAAAGCATAGGAATTTGAGCAGAATATAGGTTAAAATATTTGAGACTGTTGAAAATTTTGATAATCAAGATTGAGAACATGGGTTTGTAGAGATGGCTCAGTCGTTAAGAGCACTTGCTGCTCTTGCAGAAGACTTGAAATTGGTTTCTAGCACCCATATTCAGTGGCTCACAATCTTCTGTAACTCCATTTCAGCAATCCTTCCCTCTCTTCTGATCTCCGAGAGCAACTGCACTCATGTACACAAGCATACACTCAGAGACACACTAATAAACATAATTAAAAACAAAACAAATCTTTAAGAAAGACTGAAGACATCTATCAAAGATCAGCTCAAGAAATTTCCCTATAAAATTTCTTTGAGACAGGGGACTTCCTGTAGCCCCAGCTGGCCTGGAACTCACTAGGCATAGCAGGCTTGTCTTGACCTCACAGATTTGTCTACTTCTGCTGTCAAAGTGCTAGGATTAAAGGTGTCTACCAACATGCCCAGCCTCCCTATAACACTTTTTAATATAAAATATTTAATGTATAGGATTCAGACACAAGAGACACTTGGAGAATACCCTGTCAAACTATACAACAGTCATAAGGATAGTATTTAGAAGAGAGAGAGACAGACAGAGAGAGAGAGAGAGAGAGAGAGAGACAGAGAGACAGAGAGACAGAGAGACAGAGAGAGAGACAGAGAGAGGCATAACTTGATAGAAGAAAATTAACAAACTCCAGGCAAGAAGTTTGAATAGTTAATAAACAAAGAAAATAAGTTAAAATTCATTACTTTTTTTTTTTTTGCATCACACTGGGAGCTAATACTCCACCTACTTGAATTAGAAAAGTTAAGAATGTATTACTGAGGATGTGAGCAAACTGGGATTCCTGGGCTTTGCCTGCAGGAATGAGTGTGTGGGGACACAGCACATCAGAGCTGGAACTGGATGCAGTGAGCACCAGAGACTGCTATGCCTTATGTCCCTGCAGTTACAGTAAGTGCAGTCACATCCACTACAGTGTTCCTTGAAACAGTCCCCGGAGGCAACCTACAAGCCCATTCAGGAGAGTATACATTAAAGCATCACAAAGTGAAAGGCAGGTAACTAAGTCAGATGGCAATTTCAGTAAAAGTGGGGAAATTTGAATATTCTTTATGCGAAGTATTTAAAATTCAGTAAGAATCACCTCTTTTCTCTAATTTTAGTGTTGACTAAAAGTGAGATATGTTAGAGCACAGTTAAAGTTAAAATAGGGGGCTGAAGTGATATCTCAGTACTTAAGAACACTGGCTGTTCTATAGAGACCCCAGGTACAGTTCCCAGCACCCACATGGAGGCTAACAACTCTCAGTAAATCCAGTTCGAGGAAGCACAGTACCTTTTACTGGCCTCCCATGGACATGGCATGCATGTGGCGCACTTACATACATGCAGTCAAAACAGGCATACACATAAAAATAAAAATTTTATTGATATTAAAATAGGCCAAAATAAGTATGTGAATAAAGGCAAGTTTTCTTATATATCTAAGTGATACCATTTATCCAAATAAATCCAGGAAGAAGAATATCAAATGAAACATTTGTGTTGATGTTCTTTTATAGCAATATTTAAAACAATAAAAGAGGAAAATATAAATATATAATATTGGAATAGTTTCTCAGACTGAATTCAAACAACAGAATAGTGTGCAGTCATTAAAAATGAGATCCTTCAGCTCTCTTTGTTGATAAAAAAGAAATGATTAAAAAAAAATCCTACCTAAATCATCTTTATTCAGCATATCACGAGTTCAGCATGCACAAGTTCACGTACACAAAAATGGAAAGGGACTTAATAAGGTAAAGAAAGTTCATCTGTGGTTTAAATGAGAATGGATGTTTTTCCATTTATTCTGAACCTTTCTGTATCTTCATGTTTTTCTCTAGTAGTCACGTATTTTTGGGGAAATCAGGTAAAAATAGCAACATCTATTCTAATTCCTGCCATATCAGGTCTTCCTTGTCTGTCAGGACTTGGGCCCAGGGCTAGACACTAAGCCTGGAGGCCATATGCCAGTCTCGCCCTTGTCTCCTGGCCTTCGGGGTTCATGCCTTTCATCCTATGCTATTGAACTCTGGGTTAATCTGTCTAAAATAAGTTATCACTGATTGTGTGATTTCTCCTCTGGAGGAAAAAAAAATCCCAATTCCTTACCCAGCATCTAAGCCCCACAATCTGACCTCAGCCTTCCCACCTAATCCCTACTCGTCAAAGACATGCATGTTTTGTTCCCACCAGTCTAGTCTCTCCACTAACTGCCACATGTCACACTCCTCCAATGTCTGCGCCTGTGCCCATGTTGCTTCCATCCTTCTTACTCCAATCTCTCCTGCATATTGATGGACATTAAGAACTTTTACCATTTGTGATGGCCTTTTTAAAGATCCTGTTTATCCAGGCAGCCCTCTGCAGCAGCAGGACCTCCCTAACCTCCTTAATACATGTATCTCAGTTAATAGACTCTGTAGATACCATATGGGCAACTTGTTTCAAAGGCAGAGACTGCTCTATAAACTAAAAAAACAGAAGAAAACAAACAAAAACAAGTATCCTTCTCTGGGCAGGGAAAGTCATTCCAGGGGCTGGGACATAGGATTTTGTGGGTACAGAATCCTCCCCACAACCACTAGGAGATGATGTTATTTCCTACATAACCGTCAATGTAAACGGCAACCTTGGACAACAATTTCCAAGGCCTCATTTTAAAGGCCTCATTTCAATAATGTCAAGGAACTAGTTAAAAAGTTAAGGCTAATATATTCTCAAATTATTTTATGATATTTTACGTTTGCCAATTATATTGTTAAACTTTTCTTTTTCTGACTGTGTATGTAATGTATGTGTGCATGTGCACAGATGGGGGTACATGTGTACCTGTGTATGGAGGTGGGAGGTCAATCAGGTGTCTTTCCTCAGGTGCTAGCCACCTTCTTTTTATGAGATAGGGTCTCTCATTGTCCTGGAGCTCACTGATTATGCTAGAAGCCCCAAGGGTCCTCAGCAGTGGGATAACAAGAGCACACCCCCATGTCCAGCTGTTTTGTGTTTTCTGGAGGAATAAGCTCAGGTTCTCATGCTTGAAAAGGAACCAAATGAACTATCACCCTAGTCCCACATCATTATACT